CTCTTTCCTTTCCATTTGAAACCTAGCCATGGACCTTCTTCCCATAAACAAAAATAAGCATCTTCTGCAAAAATTATTGATCTTCCTCTTCCAAAATTGAAGATTGGGGTTAGGTCGGAGTTGAGGAGGTTCATGTCAAGGTCATAATACGTCAAAGTTTGAGTTGAGAAGCCCAAATATTCGCCCTTTTGTTTGTGATTCATGGTTTCTTTTGCCTTCAATCTGCAGGTGTAAAAATGGAGATGAGAATCCCAGTGCTCAGAGAGACAGTCATCACCACTGCCAACTGTTCACTCTCCTATTGTTACCATTTAAACTAAGCTTACCTTCATTCTCACTCATACTAGAATCCCATCCCTCGATCCTCCACTTTCTCTCTCACTAAACAAACAAAAACCCTCGACAATTTTCCACTCGTTTTCCCCTACTCATGATTTTGGATCTGAAATCTCAATCTCATCACTAAGATAGTTGAAAGCTTGAAAAGGATTCATCAGATCAGAGGCTGTGCGTGGAAAGGTTGGGGAGGGAGGTTTCTCTCTCTCGTGCATTACCACTGCGCCCATCAAATGTCGATGAAGACACCACCGATCCTCGTCGCACTGATGCCCCCTGTCAGACCTGGATTTCATTTCCGACAGGGCGCGCAACTATTCCACTATTGCCAAACCTAGATGGAGACCATTGGGTTTTCTATGGTTCAATCGGAAGGGAATGAGGCACGAGTGGAGAGGAAGGCTTAGCCCCAACGGCTGTAGAGAAAGAAAGAGGCAGGGGTGAGAGGATGCCAAAATGTAGTGAAAGCCAGATCAAGAATAGAGTTGGGTACTGGGTTTTATTGAAGGGAAGAGCTAGGGTAGAAAGGCTTGAACCAAAGAGATCGAGGGACAATGATGGGATGAAGAAGTCACAGATGAAAGGAAGAAGATCACCAATGCCGGAGAAAAAGAGGGGAAGAAGAGTTTGCCAGTAATGGAGGAGAATGGGATGGAGAAGGGGAAGAACAGCCTGTTTGGAT